CCCCCCCACCCTCCACTCTCAAGAGGAGCTTTCATTGATCCCTAATATCATTTTTTCTGTAATATGTAAAAACCCCATGATGAACCATAGTGATTTATGCTTAAAATTTTTCGAAATAAACGAAAGCTTCTCAGTTGACGTTTGAAGGTGTGCCTCGGCGTCTGTTCGATGCTATGATCCTTGTGGTGTACGACAAAGTATGCTGAAATAAGGTTAAGGGGTTAATGAGCCAATGGCAGGCACAAATACTGCTCAAGGCCAGTGATCAGAGTAATTGTCATTTCCACCAATGGGAATGAAGGAATTACCTCCTATTTTCAAAAGTTTGGCGACCTTTAGAAGTACAACTCCATTCTCTTTTCTTCTAAGGATCAAACTTGTTTGTCCCTTCATCTTCCTTCTCGAAGCTCTCTTATTAGATGAGTACTGAAACAAGAATGAACACTCATCAAGATCTATTTGATATTTTTCCAATGAAGATTAGGAAATGCTTGAAGATTTGATTATAATCGTGTATCCTATAGCCAGTGGCTAATATAAAAATAGCATGTGCATTTTGTATCGAAATGACTAAGTTCTTCATCTTCATTATCCTATACCACTGAAACACAAAATCATTTAAGTTGGTTAGGGAAGAGGTTACATGAAACCATTCTGATGCGAATTCCACATTCTATCTGAATTAAGCTACTTAGATCAGTACTCATGTCATCAGACTTTATTCTAATATCAGAAGTGTACTTCAACAATTGTGCCACTGATCGAAAAGGTGTTGACATTTCAAAAAGGCGCAATTGAACCACAAAAATTAAAAAAAGATGTCCTTTAAGCACTTATAATGCACGGAATGTAGAGGAATAGAATTTCTTAGTGGATAGAATGATGCGGATTGAATTTGTGTGTAATAAAATTCCCCCTCCAAAATGACGGTGATGATTGGGTTGGCTTTTAAAGTGCATGCTGTTGGATTTCACTTATAATTAGAAAATTTAATTTTAGGATCTGAGAGCCAGTTATGATACCCCTTAGAGGAGACAATATCGGAACCCACAACGTCTTACGAGGCAGAAACATGCTCCATAGCTGTTAAAATTCACTAATAACATTCAATTGAGATGAAAGAGGAAGTATTTAAGATCATAACCAGGTTAAATTAACCCAGATGACAGTTTATTTACATCAAATGGCAGGCGTTCTGATAGTTATCATTAGCCCTTTAGTTGACTTCAGGCTTCACAGAGAGGAAGGAACATCGAAGGGAAAAAAGTCGAGAGGGGGGGTGGTGGAACAGAAGAGTGCTTCAAAGATGTAAAAGAAACAGATACAAAGGTAGAAAAAAGGTATGATGAGTATTGTGGAGTGGTGTAATATGACATAGTGTGGGGTCGTAATAGTTAGAAGTCAGAAGTCAACTGCCGATTGATAGACTTTTTTTGCCGTATGAGAATACGTTGCCCAGGGTGCACCACATGGAGGAAAGTCTATCGTACACCCCCAACCCAGATGACTGTAAAGCCTGCTGTTAGCTCTCAAACTCTTAAAATCGCATAAGAAATTCAAAATTGTACTAGAAACGATCAGAAATAGAATTTGTTGAAGGAAGGCAATATCTACGTAGACGGAAGGGCATTATGGACCACAGATATACCACGGAGTTTATTTTCTATATGATTTAAGTCTTATCAAGGGAAATTATTGAGAGACATTTAAAATCATATTGCTACTTTTTCCAAAATTCAATAAAAGTTACAATTGTCAAGCAGTCGAAAGCATAATTGACCATATTCTTCAATCTGAGATAAGTTGTGGGAGCAAGTAAAGGAACAAATCTTTCCTCCAATAAGACACTAAATCTACGCATCGATTGGATATTTTAAAATAAACTAATGAGTATTACTAACATTGAAGTTGAATGACTGCATGCATCCGCATGAAAAGTGGTCTAATTATTTGATTAAATTACTTTTAAATAAAGAAAAAAAAATTTACTCATGATTGCATCTCGCTTGATTTTACTCGCATTTCCATTATCCAAATATACAGCATGACTGAAGTAAGAAAAATCCTGAGCGTTAGGCAACGTGGAACGCTGCCTCAGATGATGGGCACTGGTGTAAGGATAATTAGAAGGTAAGTGAATCGATAAAAGGTAATGCGTTAGGCTTTACCCTAATGTTGAAATTTTGCCTTGCAATAACTTTCTTGCAATTCGAAACGATATGACAATATGGTTTATGGATTATCATGAAGACACAATGGATATCTACTTTTGCTTTCCAAATCCCGTAGGTGCTTGCTGGTGACGTATAATCATTTTAATACTGGCATGAACAGAGTTCTCTCATTGTATTATCATCGATTTTAGAATGACACGATGGGGAACGCATTAATCGATGCATTCTCTAATTACTTTTAATTAATTCTTTTACCCCCAATATTTCATTGTATTATGATTAACTGTCTTGATTAAAAGTATGCATTGAGTATAGGACAATCCTGGTTTACTTGTATTCTTTTTTGTGACAAAAATTGAAGAGACAAGCAAAATTGAATAGTCATAACTGAAAAGGTACTTCTTAACAAAATGCAAGGGGATATGGCAGACTACTCTTAAGACTCAATGATCTAGCTATGGTTCATTCTATCATCAATGAGTTGCAATTGTCATCAAGTTAAGATGTGTTTTTACTAAGGTCTTCAAAGTGGGTGATTCAAAATTTATTTATATCAAATTGCAGGCGTTTAGATAGTTAAAATTAGTCCTATAGTTGACTTCAGGGTTCACAGAGAGGAGGAGGAACATCAAAGTGACAAAAACTCGAGAGGGGAAACAGAAGAGTGATTTACAGATGTAAAAGAGACAGACACAAGGGCAAAGAAAAGTTGAGATGATTACTGTGAAAGGGGTCGAATATGGCATACAGTCAGGCCATGGTACTTTGAAGTCAGAAGTAGACTGCTGGCTTATAGACTACTTTGGTCTACGAGTATACGTTGCCCAGGGTGCATCACGTGGAGTTAAGTCTATCGCGCTTCTCACAATCGAGATGTTATTAAGTATTATTTTCAAAAAAACTCGTTTTCGAATCTAAGAGGATGGTAAAAAGGAGGCCATACTTTTTATTGACACTTAAACAAGCGGTCAGGGATACTGATTGAAAATGCAAGAATAGAACCTCATGGCCAAGCCACAATAACATCCCTACCCTTCTTCGTCTTGTTTCGGTTACTGCATTTCAAACCTGTCCTGCATACGAATTTTTGAAATACTTACCAAATGAACTTTTTTATCATTAACGAGTAAAGATACTCTTTAATCTGTACTTTAATTGTAAAGAGCGTTAATTTGAGCGTTAACCAGAAGTCTGGCGTTATTAATTGGCGTTGAGAATACCAATTGCTTATTTCGGTAAGAGAGGTGTAAAAATCTAGTTGATCAGACGCAATGCCAGATCTGAGATGCATTTTAACACTTCCGCTAGCGGGAACCCTGGAATTCATGGTTGAAGGAGTATTGTCAAGGCTAAGAATGTGCGTCTGATCAAAGTAATTATATTTTGTAAAATTTAGGGACTTCCCAAATACAATATTTATGACCCATGCCAATTACATCATTGCCAGACATAATATATCAATTGAGTTTGTGAGAAGAAATGATGGATACGTAGATCTGCTTTTCGCTTACCCTGAATCGGTTAGTTTCCTTGTTATACACCCTATGCATACGTGTTAAGGTGTTTACCGCTTTCCTCTTTTTCCAGAATGATCTCTTGGCGACAACCGTGTATGAACATCTCAAGAATATCTTCCAAATGCACGTGCCTAACCTACGGGCACCATTTTACTGATTTGATATAAAATATATCAAGCAAAACAGTCTATTGTTGTGCATAATTAAAAAAAGTTTGGTTTGAGTATAAAAATAGCTTCTTGTCTGCAATTAATTGAATGAAAGCGGAGGTAGGGAGGAGGAGTTTGGGGGAAAATATGGAAGCAATAGAATTGAGGGCGTCTAATTCGGGTTTGCGAATTGGGTGGGATAAAGCGGTTTAACTGTTTCAAGCTTATTGACTGATGCCAATTAGGATAAATTTATGGCTCATGAGGTGCACAAAGCATGAACATTTTGTTAAGGTGTACGAGTCAGTGTGGACAAACACTAGGAAGATACCTCTAAGGCAAACTTATTCAGTCGGTCAAAGTGCTTCCTTAAAACACATTTATCTTTTCGAAAATGTGAATCTCAATAAAATCGACCATTCAAAGCCAATAGGACAGTTTCGATGTCAAACGCAACCTACTGAACGGTTACTGGGTTCTAATTGCTCATCTTGAGCCAAAGTATATGCCCTGTGGGAGGGTCTCAATTATTTCCTTTCGCGTAATGACAAACTCATTAACAACTGAGAGGTTATTATTAATTGCTCTCCGAGTTTCTGATAGTTAAAGTGTTATGGCAAGAAATGACCTTCAATGAAAGTACAGAAAGCGCTAACGCTAAGTTCTTGTTCGCCTATTTTATTTCACCATGGAAATAGCACTTATAACCGAACTAGTACTGTCTAAGGTAATGTCAGCAATTCAAATGTGTGAGGAGGGAGGGGTGAGGTTATGCTTTGTTTTATGAATACTTTTCGAAATTTATCCATTACAAAGAGAAATAAATGCGAAAATTGGGGGCATTGATCAATAAGTATAGACTTAATTAGGACATTTATCTTGATTGTAATCTTTAAGCTAGAAATTATTTATTTCAAAATGGCAGGCGTTTTTTTTAGTTATCATTAGCTCTTTAGTTGAATTCGGGCCTCCTAGAGGGGAGGAACATCAAAATGAGAAAAGTTCAAGAGGGGGAACAGAAGAGTGGATCACAGATGAAAAAAAGAGACAGAAAAACACAAATGCAGAGAAAAGGGAAGATGGGTACTGTGGAAGTGGTCAAAAAGGACATACAGTCAGGTAATGGTATTTGGAAATCAGAAGTCAACTGCCGGTTAATAGACTTGTTTACCGTATTAGTATACCACGGGAGGTGCACCACGTGGAGGTAAGTCTACGGCACACCCCTTTAGGGGTAATTGCATTTGTGTTATTGTTCCTAATAGACTAATGTCTAAGTAGAGCATGATGTTAACTGCTGCACGGCCCATGAAAATACTTGGTTATGACATTTTCTGCTATAATGATAGTACTTATTTATTTAGGAAAACGATCATATCATTGCCTATTTTACAGAAATTACTACACCAACGCATTCACTTCTCAAAGATAGACATTTGCATGAATGACACTCAAAAGTTAATTGGGGTATAATGTTGACTAATGAGCTCTTAATTAGTTGATACCTTAATGATTCGATTTGCTCCTACAGCATGCACTATATGTGAGGGGGTTCCAGGAGAATAATTGCACTTGACGGGATCAAACAATGCCATATTTAGTACTTCATATGGCGCCCCGATGACGTAAATTCTATTATCGTTTGGAACATCACGCGATCATAGTCTAGCAAAGTTGGGGCTGGAATGGTAAATTTATATTTTAAGTATCATTATATCGTATATTGTCGGTAAGCTTATTTCAACCCATGAGCACATCGACATGTTTTTTAACTGCTATATATGGCCAAATCAGTGAAAGGCATTTTGTAAATTTGCACACATTATTAATGGAGTCAAGCCCGTCTTATAATCCAATTGAACAAGAAAGCATTGAAAGAAATAAACTTTCTTCCCGTTTTTCACCCTTTTTTACTCTAAGCAGGATAGCTACATCCCACTGCCGCCTCCGTAGATATACATCTCACTATTTTCTCAATGATACCGTTCTTCACCATGAGACAATGTGGAAGAGAGAGAGAGGGCGCGCGCGCGTTGATTGGAGGATTTTTTGGATGATAAGGTGAATCTGGACCAGGTGAGAGTGAGGTAGTGTGCCCATTTGTAGGCGCGAATCATGAATGCGTGCGAACAGTTCAGGTAAATAGTGCCGACTAAGTGACTCTTGAAAATTCATCTCAAGCTGCTAGGGAAAAAACAACTTTAGATCTAGCCTATGGTCTCTTGAAAAAGGCGTTCTCAATAGTGTAATTACCATTGTTTTGACGTGGGTGGAAGGAGAATTTGAGTTGTCTTTTCGACCTGGCGATGGTTCATAGGTAAATATAGGTATAAAGTTAACAAATGATAATATATAGAAATGCATATATATATATATATAATGATATGGCTTTTCAAACGCAAAACTAATTAATTAATGCAAACGTATGACTTTAGATCATTTTAAATAAAAGTGAACGAAAATCGAGTTCTTGTAGGCATCATTGAATTCAAACTATTTATCAAAAGGGAGTTAATAAAATTTCCTGGGGAATGAAATGGTCATGGTCCAAGAAATTTATAGCAACGGTACCTTCTATGAAGGTTGCAAAATGATTGAGGTTCTACTAGTTAAAGTAAATACCCTTGAAATCCTAATGGACTGTCGTTTATCCAACGTGATTGGTGGAAGGGTTGAATGATATGACAGGCATATCGAAGAGAGGCAAATATTAAAAATTGAGGGAGTGGAAGACTTTTAATTAAATATTTGTTTAAAAGCTTGAAATCTGACCTCTAGATTAAATCGTATGAGATTATTGAAAATTTTGCATTTAAAATATGAATTAAATTATGCATTACGTTCCATTTATCTTCATGCAGTTCTATACAACTTCAGCTTAAAAAATATCTGCTGGATAATGTTTACTTACTGTTGTTTATTAAGCAGATCTAGTTTCTAAAAATGGACAATGTGCACCTTTTGAGATTGTAACTAATTTAGCTAATAAATACATTTACAATCACAGCATTAAATTAGAATTGAAACAATGTGGGGTAAAAGTTACAAAGTCCCGGAAAAAATTATTCGATTAGTAATACCCATCGAGAAGGCACTATAATTGCCTACTGATTGCTGTCAAACAAACGACTTTGATGAGCATGTGATGTGAGGCCACTGTTTTTATCTAATCCATAAATGGTAATAATTAAGCTGTGTCAGGTGATTCGAGGGAAAGGAGGGTTTAAAACCTTTTAATTGGTCATTGAAAATGGCATTTCGAAGCAAATTGAAACAGAGGTCAAGTAGCAAACATATTTTGGTGATACACCAAAGATTCATTTCCAAATTCTTTTAGGTTTATATTAATTATAATATTTTAAAGCCGATTAATGCACCCCTTATTAATTTGATTAATTTTTTGCTGAAAGAAATAAGTTATCTCATTATATCATTGTGCATTATCACACAGTTTGCACTAAATTTTGACTATAAGGAAATAGAAATATTCATAATTTCTCAAACCATTTTTAACGTATTTTAAAAGTATTTTTTGCGTATTTATGGCTCAAATCGGCTTAATTTTTTTATGGACGAATGATTCCAAATAATTTATGGTTTTGCTCTATAATTTCGGCGACTCTAACTGGGCACTTTTGCCTAAACGTCCAGGTAATACAATTTTATGTGATAAGTGCCTGTAAGGTTAGAAAATAGCACCTATTTAAAATTAGCAAAATGAAACCACTTAACTTAAAAGTTTATATCAATATTCATATATTTATTCCAAATGGCAGGCATATTGCTAGTTATCATTACCCCTTAAACTGACTTCGGGCTGCACAGTGGGAGGAACATCAAAGTGAGAAAAATATCGCGAGGGCGAACAGAAAGTTGTAAAAGAGATAGGCAGATACAAAGGCAGAGAAAAGGTAAGATAAGTACTGTGGAGGCGGTGGAATATGACATACAGTGGGGTCATGGTGGTTTGAAGTGAGAAGTCAACTGCCGGTTAATAGAATTTTTTGCCGTATGAGTATACGTTGCCCAGGGTGCACCACGTGGAGGTAAGTCAATCGCACACCCTCTATATGAATATTAAAGTAAACTGAGATACTTGAGTGCAATAATGCATTTTATAGTTGGAAAGAAGATTTTGGTGCAAAGTGGTATAGAGACAAGAAGTAGATTTTTGCAATCTTCCATTCTCTTTAGACCGTTTTAGCTTATAAATTAAATTAAAATATTCTATTGAAATTTAATCATAACAGTCATTTTAAGTAAAAATTCTCACCATAGAATATTTTTAAAGTGGGTTTTATACCCCTCCACGGCTGATGAAATATGAAAAGCGTTGGAAATTTCAATCAGCAAAAATATTTTCCCAAATTTAAGCTGGAACTTGTCATTTTGGGTGACGTTTTCGTTCTGGCAATTTCCCCTTTCCTATTTTTTTCAGATATTTAAAATAAATTATAGAATTGTATAAATAAACCAATAGAATTAAAAGTTTGCTATTAATATTATTGGGAGCTACCCCAAGTTCGTGATAAAATTATTAATTTGAGTCAATTTTTCAATTAAATGTGTTATTTGAGTAAAAAATAAAATTTTAATGGACTTAATGAAAGTTTTTAAGAAATTTAAAATAATTTAAATGATATTACACTCAAATCACCTTCTTATATCCAAATAAAAAAAGAGACATTAATTTTTAATAATAAAAGGGGCTTTTTGGTCTATTAATTTGCTTTTGAAAATGATTATTTTCATGTACTCCGTGTTTCAATTAAACACGTACCTCGTCACATTTGGATGCTTTTTCCTAAAAATAGAAAACTTGTACCAGAATTAAATCAATGTTAAAAATCCTACAATGTTCTAACCTTACAAAAATGAGCATACAATTTAAATAAATAACTTTGTTAATATTCCGTTCCAGATATGATCTTGGCAACCAATGTGATAGCGCAAAGTTCCTGATCATCTATATTGAATTTATTTAAAACTAAAATTACGAATACCCTTA